GTATCGACGTAAGGTTCGTTAGGAAAGAGTGGCGTAAGACAGAGATTATCTTGGCTCGACTTCCTTATCAAATGATGGTAATACAATATTCAAATGGAACTTTTGCAACCCGATTACAATTCATCCGGCTGGATTTTCAAAGCTGTTCATTTCCATGAAAAATCAACATCATTTTCCTGTTCCCAACGACCTAAAATTCTACTTTCGAACGTAGAAATTTGAGAAAAAAATTTTGCAACCTTTCGTGCCCATTTCTTTCAAGGAAACAATCTAATCGTGGCGAGATTTCGTAATTCTCGGCTGAATTTCTAATTAGACGAGCATCGATCCTCCTTTAGTCGTGTTTGATTCGTAGCAACGAATAGCATAAACTATTGACATTTCAATTGAACTTTTCCATGTTCACGCGAATTATTACCATTGTCCAATCATCGGTCAATCCAAACGAGGATTAATTCTTTTTTCCAGGAATATTTTCCTAACCAGGAAGGATCAAGAGCCTTTCGTTGAAATTATCTTCAGCCGATAATAGTGCTCACGTCACGAAAAAGGATTCGAACTCTCTTCGAATTAACTCTCGAATTGTATCGTCGAGTCATAGATGACTATTCATGTACGCTACGTGACTAATTTAGATGGCTACTTTCGACTATAATCTAGACGACTATCGAATCATTAATTTTCACCAGATCGTCAAAGTTTTAAGCGTTTGACTTTATTTTTCATTTGACGAGTAAAAAAATTGAAGACTCTGAAACTGAGTAATTTAACACCGAACAATGGCAAGATCCAAAATAACTAATCAAACATGGCAAATTCTGTCACATTCTATCTATCTAGATTTTTAATCAATTGTAAATTCTAAAGAGTCCCGCGAGTAAACAGAAAGTTGAAATTCTCTTCCCGTGTTCTCCTTGTCTCGTCCTCGATTTAAACTCGCCAGATTTAAATCACGTTTCATCCCTTTGCATCTGCGTTAACTCGATCGATAACGAAATCTTCCTCCGAAGCGGGAGGGGAGGCGAGGGGGAGGGGGGGAGAGAGGGTGAATTCCCTGGCGATCGGTGGTGGTGTTGCGAAAGATCGCGGAACGAAAAGTCGGGAGATGCCCGGTTAACATCGGGAGACGAAGAAAGCAAGCGGTGCTCTCCTAGGTTGATAACTAGACGAGAGGAGCCGGTTAATTAGCCGCACGGTTAGATAACGCTCTTTATCTAGATCGCGTGGAAGGATGAGAGTGAGCGTGCAGTGAGCGCGAACGTGCGCCAAAGCCAGCAGCCAGTCGACACTCGATTGGCGGAGGCCGGATGGCGGATGGATAGTGGAGGTAAAACCGAGCGAAGGGGCTGTTGCAGGCGCGAGTGGCAGCCGGAGGTGGTGGTGGTTGGAGTTCTCGTTCTTTGCAGAGAACTCCTCCGGTAGTCGCCTCCTTGACGTTCCTCTGGGGGGTTTCGAGCTCGCGCGTGGGAGTAGAAGCTGATAGTAGCGTGGGGTGCATATCGAAGGGAAGATGAGAGTGGGTGGAAGGAAAGGAAAGGAAAGGAAAGGAAAGGAAAG